TGTGAGTACCAGTTCAGAGGAAGAACATTGCAGCAGTGGAAGGCAAGAGTCAGAGCTCTTGGGCAATTTTGGGTCCATCAGTGACTTGTGGACAGTACCACTAGACTCCCTAATTTGGAGCGTAAAAATTATAGCTATATTCAGTTGTGGAAAATAGTTTTGCCATAATTCTTCAAAAACACTGATTTTTCACTTTGAATGGTATGCTAAACAGTAATTTTTATTATCGTTTCATTGTTCTAGAAACCCAGTAGTGTCCAAACTTAGTGTGTGTTCAGAGTCATTGAGATGCTTCTGAGCTTGCAGCTTCTGGGCCTCATCCTCAGAGGTTCAGGGTGTGGCCCAGGAGTCTGCAGTTTCACAAGCTCTGCAGATGGTTCTGAAGTGGATGGTCCCCATTCCTTTTACCAAGGGCTCACAAAATAGAAGGGCAGGAGTTGGGGCAACTTCCTGAAAACCTGGATCTGGAGCTCAGGCAGCCCCTGAAGGGGCATCTGAAACCACTCACCCCTTCCCCCTTTTACCCAATCCTTGCAATAGCCCGTCTGCCTCTTCCTCCCGACAGTGGACAGTTATGTCTTTACGGTGATAAAGATTGACCTGTGTAGCAGGAGGGAGGTTCCCACAGTGCAAACCTAGGCTCTCTCAGTTATTGACAGTGAATAGGGGAGGCACGCGTGCTTTGCCTGACTCAGGTCTGCCCCTCTATAGCTCCATGTTTACCTCCTGTTCCATATTTCTTAATCAGGCTGTAGGGAATTTATACTTTTCTAAGAATAGCTACCCACTCTTTGAAGATTTTTGTGTTTGAAGGCTTTTCCTCTGAGGCTACTGTTTTCATTATTGAGCAAGAGAGTCAATGAAGATTGTCATTATATCAGTAAGGTCTAAATATGCAATAATGTCATTTAAAACTTAATGGGGCTTCCCTGGTGGCTCAGTGGTTGAGAGTCCGCCTGCCGATGCAGGGGACATGGGTTCGTGCCCCAGTCCGGGAGGATCACACATGCCTCGGAGCGGCTGGGCCCATGAGCCATGGCTGCTGAGCCTGCGCGTTGGGAGCCTGTGCTCCACAACGGGAGAGGCCACAACAGTGAGAGGCCCGCGTACCGCAAAATAAATAAATAAATAAATAAATAAATAAATAAACAAAGATTAATGCATCGTTAGAACACCACAGAAATCCTTGCTGCAAACAATGGATGCAAGAAAACTGATGGCAAAAGTTTAAGGTGAAACAGTGTATTTGCATAATCTCAAAGAATCTCCTGTAAGATATTGATTACAACAGGAAAAATAGTAACTTTGCTATGGAGAAACCCTTAGGCACCACTTTAATCAAATGGTCAAGATCAACAGCACAAGTAAAACGATCTATTGATGTAATGTAATGTAGCCCGGGATGCAATGTGTGGAGAAGGGCACGTCACTTCTGTGGTATCCTTCCCTATAACCATGATAGTGTCAGTCTAATTATGAGAAAACATCTAACAGGCCCAAATTGCACATCATTCTACGAAACATCTGACCAGTGTTCTTCGGGAGTGTTGAGGTCATAAAAGAGAAGGCAAGACTGAGGCGCTGTCACAGAGAGAGGAGACAAGGAAGCCATGAGAACTGAATGCCACACAGGGCCCGGGACTAGATCCGGGACTAGAAAAAGAAGGAAATTTGGAAAAATACAAATAAAGTCTAATTTAGTTGCTGCTAGTCTCTAGTATTGTGACATTGTTAGTTTATTAGTTTTGATAATTGTACTATGATCATCTAAGGTGTTGGCATGAAGGGAAGCTGAGTGAAGTATATACAGGAACCTTCTTCTATTTTTGCCCCCTTTCTGTAAGTCTAAAATGATTACATAAGACAAAGTTGAGGAAAAGGTACTTTTGTTTAGTAATGTGTAAACACTCTGCAATAGCTTAGCATTTAAGAATCTATCTCCACTCAGCTCACCTCCTCTTCAGCATGTGTTCCCCACACGTACTTTTATGTTCTAGTTCTACTAAAGCATTTGTTGTTGTTAGCACCTTTGGGGAGTGAGGGGGAGTAACACAATTTTTGTATGTATTACAAAGTATTTACGACCAGTGTAACAACTGGATGGGTACCCCACCTCATTTTCGAAAACGTGACAGTGCAGTGAAGTCCCCCTGTTGCCTTCCTTTATGGCACTCTGTCCCTCTCATCCTCTTTTACCACCCACACATAACTGCCACCACTTAGAGATAATCCATAGAATTTGCTCTTTACTGATCCTGTTTCATTATTTGCCCCTTTTCATCCAAAGTAACATAAATTGCATTGTACTGTATCATATCTACAACTTGCTTTTTTTGCCCCACATGTATGTCTAATTCATTCTTTTTCATCATTGTATAGATAGATATCCATTTTATGAATACCCAATATATATTTATCCTTTCTCCTGCTGGCAGACATATTGGGAATGTTTTTGGTTTGGGGTTTTGTTTTGTTTTTTGCATAGTTGTCCATTTTTAAAAGTATTTTCTCAGGTCAAAAGAGATCTCTACTTTTTCTGAACTCCATTAACGTTGTGTACCACTTTTAGCTTAATATTTGTGACCTTTTATTATACTTATTTTTCTTTTCTCCTGTAGCAGATGGAAAGCTTTTTGAGGATCTAGTTCTCCAAGATGGACTTATTGGGATAATAAGGATTTAATTTTGTTGAATGAATAAGTAAATACTTAATGAATTAAACACTGTCTACATATAGATGTTGGGCATATTTGTGTTTATTTTCTGAGTTATATGGTGTTGCCTCTTGGGGACTTTTCTTTGTTACATTTATGCAGTGTCAGAAACTGGTCACTAAGCTAGAAATATGGAGCATAAATAAGCCTAAAACTTTAAGAAATTATATTCTAGGTTTGCAGGCATCACAGGTACAGGGTTTTTTTTGGTGTGTTTAACATTGAAGAAGAAAGTTTGACAAAGTTAGCAATTTAATCTACATTTGGCATTACAGAGCAGAAGGGAGCTCTCTATATTATGGCAGAAGTCTTGCTTTTGTGTATCATTCTATATTGATAATTTTGAATTTGTACCCAGAATGGAATTGCCCAAATTAGTTCTTTTCTTCCAAAATTCTTTTATTTGGATGTTAATCTTATCCTGCAAAAACACTGAGCAGGTTTCTTAGCTCTCTTGCCTATCTTATTTGATTTCTACAACAGCTTTGGCAGAGATAAGCAGGGCTAGTATCACCCATATTTTACAGATTAGGAACACTGGAACGGAAGCTGGGGGAGGTTGTTTGCTTAGGGTCACTGAACAGAACCAGAGACCAGATCTTTCAGTCTGGTCCCAGACGTTACAGTTTCAGTGTTTAAAATGAGCAAAAATATTTTGTTTTGCTGGCATTTTAATAGATGATTCAGTAACATAATGCCTGTTTGACAGTTCATCATAGTAATGTGGGGAGTTTCTCATCATTGTTAGTGGTCCATTATAACTGCCTTTTTGCTGCCCTCTTTGTTAGAAGCGTTCGAAGAAAAGCTGAAACCAAACATTGCAAAAGAGCATGTCATGACTGGTGTGTATTTTAAAGGAAAGAAAAACCTCATAAGTGGAACTGATACGAAGGAGTGACACAACCTAAAGTTAAAATATCGGAGGAGACAAATGGCTTTTTGATAGCTCGAGACCTACCAATGAATTAAAACTTCTCGGCATATGGACTGGTGCAGTTCATCACTCACATTGCAATCTAAAAAATGCAGAAGCAGTACACGTAAATATTGTCTTCATGTCAGAAATACACCTTCGTGCTTGAAAATGATAAAAAATTACAATCGATCCTTACAACTGTTCTGTTCATCTTTATTGATCAGGTGCAAGAAAGATAAATCGCAGCCCAAATAAGATTATAGTAAATGTTAGCATCGTAGGGGACTCTAGGTTGATAGAAAGCCATTCATCATCTCAAATGGTGACCTGTCCATTGCTCCAGCCACCCTGAGTCTGCTGTCTAATCACATACCTATTGATTTTATCTACATCCAACAAACCTGGATGTGACTGTCATTGGGCAACCCAGATTGTTAAATGCAAAGGGGTCACTGGTGTGAAGAGGATTTCATTTTCATTTTCTTACCAACCAACAATGATTTATTAAAAAATAAACTACCCCAAGTCATGCATGTGAAACCTGAGTGATTAGGAAATGAAGGGGCACAGTAGACTGCATTTTGGGGTCTACTGCATTTTGTTCCTTTGCACTGTGATGCATTTTGCAGGGTATTTCATGGAGTCTGAAGACTCATAGGGTCATTTAGGCCACCCTCTGCAGTAAGACAGGTTTCACAGTAGCTAGCCAGAATGGATCATTTTTAATTTTGCTGCCCCAGGAAAGGCATTACTTTGCTCTTACAACTTGATTTATGTTGCTTATGTGTTCATTCATGTAATATTGAAACATTTTTTAATAAAAATTACCTAAATCTGCACCCCTGTTCTTACTGATTAATTTGTTATAAATGTTGATGCTCTTGTGGTCATATGGAGATGATAGAACAAACTCCATAGAGAATCCATCTTGAGGATAAATGTACTGTGTAAAAAGAAATGATCTTTTAATATCCTAGGTGGAACACTGGAATAATAGGTAAGTATAGTGTGTGAATATCATATTCAATCAGAGTGTCTTTTGATCTTGCAGTGGTGGATTCCAAATAAGGGAGATCAAAATAATCTTTCAAAAATGTGTTAGGAATTTTCTCAGAAGGATCAAATAATGATGAATTACAAATGTGAACATTTACTCTTTAATTACAGCCTGTATACCGACAACTATACTGTTATTAAATGGGTAGCTTTACATGTATTTTTGTAAGTATTCATGCTACCATGCAAGAAATCTTTCTCCTACTGCTTGAGTGGCCGACACAAGATTTTATGTATCTTTTTGAAATCGTAGGTCTTGCACACATTTTGTCCTCTTGGATACTGAAAACTCTGCTATCGATCTTTATCCACAGAGCTCAGAGTTCTACAGAGTCACCACTGAGCAATACCAGAAAGCTGCTGAGGAGGTGGAAGCAAAGTTCAAGTAAGTTTTTAATAGTATTATCATTATTTACCCTTCTTGACAAGATGAAAATACACCTTTATTGCTCTTTGATATGTTAGCCCTCTGGAATACTTGGAAATGTGTTTGGATCCATGTTGCTCTAGTGGAATTCAAATGCAAGGAATGGGCATTTGGTGACTGTGTTGCAACTCAATTTTATGAACTCAGGGGAAATTGAAAGCAATGGTGATAGAATTTTCATTTGGAATATTCTATAAGATAGGATACCATTGATTATGAAGGTGATGTTAAATTGCTGTCTCTTTTAATAGAAACACAGAAATCATTCACTTGTGTATCATAAAATGATGGGCATGTCCAACGGGTATCTGCCTTTCTCCCATTTAAGCTGTTTTCATTTCTTCACATGTACCTTGAAAGCATTTAAATCACAGACTTTACCTTGCCCTTGATTATGAGGGTGATGTTAAATTGTTACCTGTGTTAATCCTTGGAATGTTTAAATGAATGTTCTGTAATTGATGGATCAAAGTGTCTGCGACCCATAGCCCTGTACTTTCCCTTTGCTTCCAGTGCTCACATTAGGTCAGAAAACATCATTCAGAATTTTCCTGAGTGTATAAATAGTTCTGTTGTGTAACCTCTGTTAGTCGCACTTGTGCAAATTAGTGAAGCACAGAAAGGTGCTGTGACAGGTTTAGTTGAAAGAGTGCATTGGGCTCTGACCTCCTTCCTTGGCATGTTTATAAACATTTGATAAAATGATTAAACCCTAAGGTAGAATGTTGTTACTTTCTGCTGTAGTGCAGTTTGTGTGGTAATGGATATTGGTGTTATTTTAATGTTGATTAAAAAAAAGACTTTTTAAAAAGATGGTTTGAGGTATCTTTAAATAGACAAAAACCTTTAGTCTTCCTTAGTGAATTATCTCTTTAGGGGCAGTTGGGAAAGGCCTTCTAAAAATGAGCCATAAATCTCACTCTTAAAGGTTAATATGCTATCTTTAGAATTTAGATATGGTATTGGATAGACTTGATTTTAAAAGGCACTCTACATATGTATTCTCAAAGTTAGGTTTTTATCCTTCCCATTAATGTTAAAGCACTGTTTTTTAAACCTTTGGTCTCTACTGTGAGAACCTTTGACTTGGCACCTTGGGTCTTTCTTCCTTGTAAGATGATGGCTATACAAATAACTAAAATTTAAGTTAAAGGAGATCAATTCTGACTAGAATGATCTATGAAGTCATTATAAAGAAGATGGTATTTTAATTGAGGCTTGAAGAAGAGTATTGAATAGTCAGGAAGGAAAGGTATTCAAAACGAAAACATCTTCAGTAGTTGGGTGACAAACTAGCTAAGAGCAGTGGTTTGACTCACAGAGACTGGTGCGAGATACAGCTGGAAAGGTTGGTAGGGTCATTCATTAGCTGCTGGGCTAAGAAGTTGGTCTTCATTTAGCCAGAAGGCATTGGAAGGTGTTTGACCAGGTGAGTACCCCAATTTCTGTTGCCCTTTAGGAATTAGTCTGATAGTTGATGTGAGGTTTGATTGGAGGTGTGCAGGGAAAAAAAAGCCAGAGATACCAGATGAGATATCTCTATAAGTGAAAGAGAAAAGGAGGGGATGGATGCAAAAGTCACTGAGAGATTAGACATGAATTAGTGATGAATTGGTGTACTGGTTTGCTAGGGCTGCCACAGACTGACTGGCTTAACAGAAGTTTTCTCACAATTCTGGAGGCTGGAAGTTCAGGATCAAGGTGGAAGCAGGGTTGGTTTCTCCGGGGGCCTTTCTCCTTTGCTTGCAGATGGCTGTCTTTACATGGCCTTCCTCTCTGCATCTGTGTCCTAATCTCCTTCTCTTATAAATCACATTGGATTAGGGTCCATCCTGATGACTTCATTTTAACTTACTTACCTCTTTAAAAATCCTCTGTCCAAATTTGTTTTCTGAAGTACCAGGCATTAGGACTTCAACATAAGAATTTTGGGGGAGACACAGTTCAGCCCATAACACTTGGACAGAAGGGATAAAGGAGAAACAGAAACAGAAATATGAGCTTAGTTTATTGGAAAATTGGTGGAAGCTGAATATCATAGAGAGAGAAGTCTGATTTTAGATGAAAAGAATTGGCTTCTCTTCTGAAGCCATGCCCAGCTGCCATGTCATTCAGCCTGGGCTAGCCTACTGCAGAATGGGAGGCTGCATGTAGCACAAAAGTAAAAGTCATTATGACTTACCTTCTCCAAGACAGCATGGACCTGTAGTTTGGACTTAGTTTTAAGCAGAGCCTCAGCAGCATCATTCTCTTTTATCTTTAGAAGGTATTATTCTTTATTAGATCCTTCTCCAATCTGGTGTAGTAAACAGTCTGGCCTTTCCCAAAGTGAGCTCTGGCCCTTGTACCTAGCTCCTGGGACAAACCTCTAAACCCTTGGAATTTCCCAAGTGAAAGAAATGTCTTATTATTTATGATGGGCCCCTTATGACATGTGGTATCAGTCCGGTGCCAAAGACTGAATTCAGCCACAGGGGCAGTCAGTCAGGCAAGAATGTGTGATGAGGCTCCAGTGAAGCTCAGGACACTAAAGTTTGGGTGAGCGTCTCTAGTTGATACTACTCTGCATTTGTTACACAGTGATACCAGGAGGGAAATGCATCCTGAGGACAGTGGGAACATTGCATCTGGAAAACTCTCAGACTTTGGTTTCTTTTCCTTTGGCTGATTCTCTGTATCATTTCCCATAATAAGCCATCACTCTGAGTTTAATAGCTTTAGTGAGGTCTGTGAGTCCTTTTATTGAATTATCAAAGCTTAGGGTGGTTTGGGCACCCCTTGAACTTGCAGATGATACTAGAAGTGAGGACACTCTTGGGGACTCTGCCCTCAGACTTTGCAGTTTGGCTAACTCCAGTGCAAACAAAAACCCAGGAATTTCAAAGCTAGGTTTTTCAGAAAGTGACTTTCATTATATCATTTTTTTCAGCTACCTGCTAGCCTGAGCTTCCTAGAATATCGTATTTTGATTTGCATTGAGTTCATTAGTGTCACACCAAGGAAGTGATAGTGCTTTGGATGTAAGAGATGTTTACCATCTTTGAAGACACAGAGATTCCTCAATGGAATTTTGTTTCTCCTTAGAAACTTGAGCACCTCATGTAATCATGACATCTTCAGTCTTTTGCAAGGCAGAGTACTGTATTCTTTCCATTGCCTGACAGAGCTGAACTCAGCAGTTCCTCTTGGACAGCAAACTCTGAAGGACTTTGAAGAGGATTTAGTTAATTTTATGTGATGTTAGGATTCATTTGGATACATCTTGGTTACAGGAGATGGAAGCTTTTTAAATTGCAATTTCAAGGGCACTGTTATGCACCTGATGGGGGGGGTCACATAAAATCACTGTAAAGAGAAAGAATAAAGAATGCTCCGAGCATTTGAGGCCACATGTGATGAACAACAGTTACATTGGGGCATCCTGCAGGATAGCTAATGGAATTATTTTAGGGAGGCTTAAATATTAACTCACACTTCAGTCCCTCACTTTATAGTTTGGTGGTAAACCAGTAAAACACTTTAGATTTATTGGAATTTTTCCCCCTGTTTTATCAACACATCATTCATTCATAGTGCTTCTATGCAACATGCCCTCCCCTGCATTCTGAATATACAGCCATGAAGGAGATAGGTGGGGTCTTATCAGCGTGGAGCTTAGAGCTCGTCAGAGGAGGGCAAGAATAAGACAGATTTAATAAACCAAAGCTTTTTAAAAATCCACAGTTGGTTCTACTGTGATGAGATAATTGTATCCCTAATAAATATCAAATTATTAAAACTTACTATTTCTTTTTTCAATGGAAATTAAGTAATTTGGGATCAAGAATGTGTGCTGTTTATTTTCCTGCAAGAACTTTTTCCCCAAAATAGCTTTAAAATTTTGGCTATAAAACCCAAATCACTGGGTAAACCCAGTAATACATGTATTTTTTACATCTAGCTTTTATTCAAGAGATATACCTTTTCTTTTCCCAGCTCAACTGAAACAGTCATTATAAGCACTTCATATCACCTTTATCACCCTTTGTTATTAGCTGTTAAATAGAGCAAGTTATGGTGTTAGTTCTGAGTTAGTTACATGGCGGTAGTACCATGTTATAACTCAGCTACTTAAAATTATGTTCAGTATTAATCCTTATATTCTAACTTGTAGGTAATTAAGCGAAATGTTATATTAAATGTTACATTGATAGTGCTTAGCACAGGTCTAGCACAAAGTAAATGCTCAATAAATATTAGATTTTATTTTTTATTATGTATTATTATTATGATATTATTATTTTATTATCATGTCCAACTCATGTTATGAAACTATGCACCATAGGGGAGATTTCTGTATCTGGTTCCAAACGAAATCTAGATGATGTTAAAACTTCCCCAAAGAACATTAGGGAGAGTTCTTACCCTTGGGGAGCTCACAGTCCAGCCAGGAGACAGCATATAAAGCTCTCATGACAGGACAGCCTCAAAAGGGATGTGTGTCAGAGCTGTCAGGATGTACAGACAGAATAAGGGGTGTATGGACAGAGTGCCACAGGGGCTCTGTTTGTTAGTCAGCATCAGAATCCAATTGCCTCAGTGGATTGGGGTCAATATACCATACCCACAGAAAGGAAATGTTACCATAGTGTTATGTACACACAAATTGTTTTCAAAATATAAAAACAAACATCAAGCAAATGTAAAGCAAAAGGCAGTGTAAACCTTGTGAAGACAATGTAATATCAAACAAAAGCATTTCAAAGACGATTGATCTTTCACTCCCATGTTTTCCTTTAGATAATTCAGTGGCCAGTTCTACCTTCCCTAAAAATATATATGGGAAGTGACATAGATCTCTCAAAAATATTTTGGACTGGTTTTATTAGAGGTATAACTTTTCAACTTGGCTTCAGTATCTTTGAAAGATGAAGCACTCGTAAAGGAGTATGGTTCTGTGCAATTGGATGTGAATAGTG